TCCCACCATCCAATCTGTCAGCTACATTTTGCCTGTTACATTAAGTAGACAGTAAATAGTCCTATATACATGCAGAGACAAACTTAAGTGACTTGTCTATATATTGTAAATTGGAAATAAAATAGCACTCAATCATTATCATGGTGTAAATATTCTCTGAAGAGTTGGAGCCAAGCAGTGTGTGAAGATTACATTTCCTCCTCTATAGGTCCGATGTTATCCCAGTATGCACTTAGAGGAGTCTCCTCCTGGTATCAGTCAAATGGATTTTATTTTTTCACTTGTTTTCCAAAATCATACCGCATTTCATGGGGACTTTATATTCAGACCTGAAAGCTGGTATGGTTTTTCAAAGCCAATAACTGCCTGTCTTCCTAAGAACAAACTTTTATTCTTCACTGTATTGTTATAATCCTCCAACTTCGTACCTACTTAATGTAACCTATTTCAATCTTCCTGAAGATTTTCTTCATTGAGTTCCTGGATTTGTAGCCTAGAGTGATTTGATCTGATGGTTGTAGAACCATCATCCTAGTCATCCTCAGCACCGCTTTCCCAATCACATGTGTTTATTGAAGTTTTTCCTGCTGCCGCCTTCCTGTTTCATCCAAATTTTGCTAAAGCTAATCCTTTAGTACCCTAATAAAGGATAAATGAGAGTAAACTGAAGCAAACTACACATACAGAATATCAGTGTTTGGTCTCACGCTTTATTGTTGTTTGGGTATAGACTTCTAGGTTCAAAGTAATTTTACTTTGTAACTTGGAAGGTGCAGCACATTCTGTATTATCTAATATTGCTGACAGGGAGGAGGCTAATGGTATCTTGAATGTTCTTTTTAGAGACATTCACATTTTTTTAAAGCTTTTTGAAAAGGATGGTTTCATCTTCAGTATTCTGAAATTTCACAAGCATATTTCTGGATGTATTTTTTTCCCATTGTAATTGTTTTTACCAGTTCAGCCCAACACTTGGTGAACTGTTCCAAGCTGAACATTCATAACTTTCTTCAGTTTATAAAGGTTCTCAATCATTTGATATCCTTTCTCTGTAAACTTCTTTGGAACTCCTATTAATTGAATGTCCCTTTTTGTTTATAATTTATGAGCTTGGAAAGTTTCCTGAATTTTCTTTAAAAACTTCTGTTAGGTTTATTACAGCAATAACATTTTTTTCATTCTTAGGAGTTCTGATTTGTTTTTTTCTACAAAACAGACGATTTCTTTCTGTACTATTTTTTTCTTTAAAACGATTTAAAAATTTTTTAACTCCAGTATAGTTAACATTGTTGCATCCACTTCAGGTGTACAGTATTATCTAATTTTTTTATATAGATTCCCATAAATATGGGAATACTTAGGTTCAAATTTAATATAAATTTTGTTTTCTTCTGTTATTACATAACTTTCCCCACTGTAGGTTTATTTCGGTCTCTTGCTTCTTATTCTGATAGTTTTCATATGTTATGATCCTTAACTGTCTGTTCAACATTTAGGAATGATATGGCTTGGGGCATCTGGCTGGCTCAGTTGGTAGAACATAAAACTCTTGATCTCAGGGTTGTGAGTTGAGTCCCATGTTGGGTATAGAGATTACTTTTTTAAAAATCTGATTATGGCTTGATTATTCCAGGTAGCTGTATATCAGTTTCCCTGGATGGGAAAGGTTACTGGGATCTCTGTATGCTTGGGAAGGACTGGCAAGTCGATGAGCTAATATTCTCTAAATTCCAAAAAGGTTCTAATTTACCTGCCAACTTTCTCTCATGCTAAGTTTACTTTTTCATAGGTTAAATTTCTTACATTGTTGTTTAAAACTTCAAATACTACAGAGAACACAAAATCTCCTCTTGACCAGAATATCCAATCCCAGTCTCCTCCCTAGAAGGAACACTTATTAGTTGGGTGTGTCTCTCCAGACTCTTTCTAAATATTTGCATACTTATTTAAATGTGTTAGAAATGTTTTTAAAATATATAATACTGTGCAAATCTGCAAAATGTGCTGCTTCAGTGTCCTTTAGACAAATCCATCCATGTCTATATCATTGGTCCCTTCTTTGAAACTGCTGCTAGTATTTCTAGTCAAGTCCCATGGAAATCTAGATTGTTTCCAGTGTTTCATGTACTAATCATACTGCCTTCCAAAGGGACTTGAGCAAACATGTTAAAAACTTCACTGCCTCCAAAATGGCAATGAGGAGTATTCATTTCTCCATACAGCTGCCACTTTTTGATATTACATTATTTAAATCTGTATCTCAATACTAGTGAGGTTAAGCACGGACTCCTTTATGAGCCATCCCGATTTCTTCTATGATTTACCTATTCTTATACTTTGTCCATTTTTATACTTGTTTAGTTGTCCTTTACTTATAGGTGTCCTTACATCTTTCCCTTTATATGTTGTTATAATTTCTTCCCTTCTGTTGTTTTTAAATTGTTTAAAAGCATTTTTTAGAAAGATATGTTCAATCCCAGTTTGTAAATATATCCTACTATATTTTCTTATAATACTTGATTTTACATTTAAGAATTTATTTAACTGGAACTCATTTTTGTGGATGGTGTGAAGGATCCTATTCAATTTACTTACAGAAGAGAGGGTGAAGTGAGGAAGCTGTTGACTGCCACATAGAAAGGCACTGAACAGTCTTGTCACTGTTTCTTATTACCCCCAGCCTCTGTAAAGTGGCTTCTGTTACTGACATCCCTATCATTCAAACATTTCAGATAGCAGCAGCCTCTGCTACATTTCATGAATGAACACTTTCTTCCCTTTTGTCTATTATTTGTTCAACTCTCTCATCCACTGATGATCCTCTTTTCTGATCTTTTTTGTTTGGTACCTTTTACATTGTTTTATCTGTTTAATGGGATAAGGAAATAAAGTAAATTTGTAAAGAAAATTGATTGTCCCAGTGAAAATTCGGATATTGACAAGTTACCTTTCAGAAATTTTGTACAAATTCATACTTCCTCATATCACTGCATAGAAGTATCTCCTTTTCTGTGCTTTTGCAATGCAGATTTTTTTTCTCAGTTTGATATTGACAAATGGATAGTTCGTTTAACTTGTTCTTATTCTAGTGAGATTCTGTCACTTACCAGTCACCTGTTGCTTCTTTATATCCTTTGCTCATGGGAGTAGTGTCATTTCCTAAGTGATCTGTAGGAGCACTTTTATGTTAAGGATATGAATTTCATATATGTTGTAATATCTACAATACTGATAATAAAAAACTTTGTGTTTATACTGTCTTTGACTATATAAAGGCTTAATAAAATTCCTATGCAGTAAAACCTGGAATCTGTGTGTGTGTGTGGCTTCTGGATCTCATGTCTTGTTTAGGAAGATTGTTTTCACTGTGATTATAAATTACAGCGTCCTTTAATAACTTTTACATTCAGATAAAAGGATGAGGGAGTTGGTTTTGTAGAGCAGAATTAATGTTATTAATACTGTTAAGCCACTGACATAGTACCTTTATTTATGTGTTTCCCTGTATGAATGTATATGTGTGTGCATTGACATGCACACAGTGTTTCAAGCCTTAAAAAAAAATTAGGATTCTATTAGTTACAAAGAGTCTGTAAATTAATTTTGGGCCTCTAACATCTCTAGAATAGTCTTCCCCCTGCAGAAGGATAAAGTGTCTATTCAAGTCTTCCTTTTCATCCATTTTCTGCGTACCTGTAATGCTGTGTGAGTTGGTTCTGAATTGATTGCATACTCAAAGCCTCCAGGAGTCAGGAAGTAATATAAAGTGTAAAATAAATCAGATGTAAAGAAGGAGTGGTTTGAACTGTGGAGAACTGGAAAACATGCCCACATAAAGGTATTATTATTATTTTGTATTCATGTTAAACTCGGTGACTACCAAATCAAATGTCTGTGGGCAGCCAGTTTAGGAGTACTGATCTGTAATTTTCTTTTCCCCTCTAGTTTCAGAATTACAGCTTGGAGAGCTAGCTTAACCTTTTCAGTTTTAAATGACATAGATTTAATACAATTCAACCACCTGGAATTAGGAGGGATCAAACTTCCATTTTATTTTCTATTCTTCTTTGGTTATTGGTCTTTTTGTCTTTTAAAAAATACCTATTTTGCCTTTGTCTAAGTGTAAATGTTGAATATATCTTAGTAAAGCCTACTTGTTACTAGTGATTTTTAAAATCTGGCTTATTAGAACTGCTGAATATCTAATGAAGTTTTTACCAACAAAGTCAGATCTTACTCTGTATCATCATGGACTTTAACACCAATGCTACTGTATTAGATGCCCTTATCAACCACTTTAGAACAATGACTGCTATTCTTAAAAATATTTATAATCTCTTAAGTGTTGAGCTGCTACTGCTTTCCTCAGATGATCCCTGCTAAGATGATCAGGTCTTCTTTGTATACCACAATATCTCTTCATTTTACAGTAATGTTTATTCAGTGATTACTTTATGCTAGGCACTCTGAGCAATTTACATGCATTCTCATTTAATTCTCCCATCAACTTTTGAGGTAGTACCATTATTATTCCCATAATATAAATAAGACTGAACCTTACAAAGGACAAAATGTTTCTCTAAAACTAGAGGGCTAGAAAATGGAAGAGCAAGGATTAGAACCCAGATCTGTTTGATGCTGGAATAGGAGTTCTTAATTGTCCAAAGAATTAGATGGATTTTGACACAAAACAGTACTTTGTAAGGTATAAATGGAACAAGGTATCTGGGGCAGGGGGTCTTTTACGCTATTTTGAGGAATGTGTGCTTTAACCTAAGAACTATGGGATAACAATGAAGGGTACCAATGAAGGAGAAGTGATATCGTCAAACTTTTAAAGTACAAGTTTGACTACAGTGTAGGCAACTGACAAAGGAAATGGTAAATACAGGGAGACCAATCAGAAAGTTATTTCCATAGTCCATATGAAATAGATTACTGTGTATTGGACAAAGATAATGGAAGGGAAACGGATTAAAGGAGTCTGGTTCAAGGCATTTTTAGGAGATAAAACCTACAGGTCTTGGCAACTGACTGGACATAGAGGGTGAGGGAGAGGAAGGAGTCAAGAATGACTCCATGGTATGAATTCTCTCATGCTGGGCAAGGTGGGCACGCTGCCTGAAAGATTTTCTGCAATCTTTACATTCATAGGGTCTCTCTCCTGTATGAATTCTTTGATGTAGAGTAAGAGATCCACTGTAGCTGAAGGCTTTCCCACAAATGTTACATTCATAAGGTTTCTCTCCAGTATGAATTCGCTTATGTTGAGCAAGGCCTGCATTCTGGCTAAATGTTTTCCTACATTCCTTACACATATAAGGTTTTTCTCCAGTATGACTTCTCTGATGTTGTGCAAGTGATGAACTATTGCTAAAGGCCTTCCCACATTCAATACACTCATAGGGTTTCTCTCCAGTATGAACCCTCTGATGTTGATCAAGGTATGCAATCTGGCTGAACGCTTTCCTGCATACTTTACATTCATAAGGTTTTTCTCCAGTATGAACTCTCTGATGTTGAGCAAGGTGTGCATATTGGCTGAAAGCTTTCCTACATTCCTTACATTCATAAGGTCTCTCTCCGGTGTGAATTCTCTGATGTACTATTAGGTATCCACGATGGCTAAAGGCTTTCCCACACACATTACATACATAAGGTTTCTCTCCTGTATGAATTCTCTGATGCTGAGCAAGAAATGAACCATTACTAAAGGCCTTTCCACATTCAATACATTCAAAAGGTCTCTCTCCAGTATGAACTCTCTGATGTTGAGCCAGGTGTGCAATCTGGCTGAAGGCTTTTTTACATTCTTTACATTGATAAGGTCTCTCTCCAGTATGAACTCTCTGATGTTGAGCAAGGTGTGCATTCTGGCTGAAGGCTTTCCTACATTCTTTACATTCATAAGGTTTCTCCCCAGTATGTATTCTCTTATGTTGAGCTAGGTTTGCACTCTGGCTGAAGGTTTTCCCACATTCAACACATGCATAGGGTTTCTCTCCAGTATGAATTCTCTGATGAAGAGTAAGAGATGAGCTCTGGTTGAAAACTTTCTCACATTCATTACATTTCAAAAGTTTCTTTTGTACACAGACTTTCTTATGTTTCATTTCAACAGATTTTTTTCGGTAGTTTCTCTTTTGTGGCTCATGCTTATGTACTCTTTCTTTGGTGGGAAAATTCTGTTTTATATCAAATATTGCATCCTGATGGAAAGTTTGCCAAGATTTAGTATATTCATTACTTTTATCTTCAGTGAGGATTTCTTCATGAGTGGTGATCAGTTGTCTAGAATGTACCTCCTGACTGCCTAACTGGTTCTTAAACCAGTCCTCACATCTACAGTCTTCTCTCAAACTGGGGCAGTCAAGGCTATAACTAAGATGGCTTCTTCCCATTGTCAGTACTTTGGATGATTCTTCATAAATAACTTGCTTTGATGAAAATTCATTGTTTTTAAATGCATACTCCCAATCTAAAAGATACCAAGAAAACAAATGTCTTTTGTATTTGTTCATTAGAAGATAACTTCTGAAACAAAAATTTTATAGTTATATTAATATTAGTCTCCAAACACCCTTTCTTTCTTGCCTTAGGCTATCCTTCATTCAAGCATTATCTTTAAAAAGCCAATTTCATAATGTTAATGTGGCTTAAAACACCTCCATAAGATCCCCAGACCCTAAGGTACTGTTAGTTGCCTTAGGTTATACATGCAGCTATAGCTAAACTTTTGTAGCCTAAAAAAAAATGTCTTCTTGACAGTAGTTTTCTATGTGATATAGTTCAACCAAACGTAAATTTAAAAAAAAAAATTTTTTTAACGTATATTTATTTTGAGAGAGAGAGAGAGTGCAAGCTGGGGAGGGGCAGAGAGAGAGGGAGAGCCAGAATCTGAAGCAGTCTCCAGGCTCTGAGCTGTCAGCACAGAGCCCAATGCAGGGCTCGAACCCACGAACTGTGAGATCATGACCTGAGCCAAAGTTGGACACTTAACCGACTGAGCCACCCAAGTGCCCCAACCAAATCTAAATTTTTAATTGCTCCCAAAGCTAAAATGCCTTCACGTAAAAGTAATTTTGTATTAAATTGCTTGATTTTATTAACCTGCCACAAGCCTTAATTTGCCGCCTTCCCCATCACCTATTCTCAAGATTTTCCAATGGTTTCTCACCATATTTATAATAAAACCAAAATTCCTATTATGGTTTAGAAAATCAATGTAGTAATGAACATAAATGTAAAAACCTTTAATAAAATCACTGAAGATCAAATCCAAGAAAATATGAAAGCATAATCATTACCACTCATAGCTGATCCCAGCAATGCAAGGTTGGCTTAATATGTGAAAACCAATGTAATTCACCACATTAATAGATTAAAGGTGGAAAAATCATGTGATCATTTCAATAGATACAGAAAGAGTATGTGACTAAATTTAACATCTATTTATTATAAAAATTCTTAGCAAACCAGGAATATAAAATTTCCTTAAACTGATAAAGGGCATCTAAGAAACATGAACTTAGTGGTGAAAGACTGAATAGGTTTTCCCTTAAGATTAGAAATAATCCAAGTATGTCTACTCTTGGCAATTCTATTCAACATTATATAGGAGGTCCTTGCTATTGCAGCAAGTCAAGAAAAAGAAGCTGTAAGGTCAGAAAGGAAGAAATAAACTGTATTTGCAGGTAACATGATGGTCTATGCAGAAAATCCTCAGAAACCTACAAACAACTACTAGAACTACTAAATAAATCTAGCAAGATCGTAAGATAGAAAATATAAAGATCAGTTTACATTTTTGCATACTAGCAACAAACAACTGGAAAATTGAATTTTTAAGAATTCTATTTATAACAGCACTAAAACTTACCGTAAGACTCAGAAAAAAATACATATATATAGCCACTACACCAGATACTACAGAACATTGATAAGAGAATTTTAAAAAGACTAATAAATGGCTAAATACACCATACTCATGAACTAAAAAACTCAAATGACATTAATTAGAATATCAGTTCTTCCCAAATTGATGTATAGATTCCACATAATCCCAATCAAAATCCTAGCAGGCTTTTGGGGTAGAAATTCTTAACTTCATTCTAAAATTTATTTGGGAATGCAAATGGATTTAAATAAAGTGATTTTACAAGTTGAACTATCTCATATCAAAAGTTACTATAAAGCTATAGTAATTAGACTAGTACTGATGAAAGGATATATAGATAGACGGAATAGAATAGAGTTCAGAACTCGACCCATGTAGATATGACCAACTGCTTTTGGTACAAAGGTACCAGCAAGGCAGTATAATGGTTAAAGTCTTTTCAAAAAAAGATACTCAAGTAACTGTATATCCAAATAGTTGGGGGAGAGGACCAAAACCTTGTTCTTTACCTCATATAAGACACAATATTTAGCTCATGTAAATGTAAAAGCTAAAACTATAGGAGAGAAAACAGAAAAAAATTTTTGTGACTGAGGGGTAGCAAGAATTTCTAAGGTATGACACAAAAACCACCAAACGACAAATTAATAAATTGGACTTTACAAATATTGAAAACTGGATGTTCAAAAGGCAGCAGTAGAAAAACAATAACACAAGCCACAACTAGCATACATATATCCCAATACATATAAATGGCAAAAGACTTGTATTAAGACTATATAAAGAAGTCTTACAATTCAGCAAGAATAAAAAAAATAATAATAAAACACGGGCAAAAGATTTGAACACTTTACAACAGATATATGGTCAGTAAGCACATGAAAAGACATTCAACATTATGTCATCAGAGAAATGCATCTTAAAAGCATAATGAGATACCACAACACAACCATTAGAATGAATAAAATTAAAAGCTGACAATACCAAGGTATATGGAACAACTGCAAGTCTTCGACATTGCTTCTGGGAATGAAAATGGTACACACACTGGAAAACCAGCAGTTTCTTTAAAAGTTAAACATACTCCTATTGTCTGACTCATTACACTTTTAGATATTTACCCAAGAAAAATTAAAACATACATGCATACAAAGTCCTATAAATGACAGCTTCAGAGACACTTTGTAATAGCCAAAAACTGGAAATAACCTAAATGTGAACAGGTGAATGGAAAAACAAAATGTGGGAGATCTACATAAAATTGTTAATGATTTTCAAAATTATGAGTAAAATAAGCCAGACATAATATATACTGTATGGTTCCATTTAGCTTAGATGGAAACTAATCTAAAATGACCAAGATCAGAATAGCATTTGGAGCCAGGAGTAGAGAAAAAATGGTACATAAAGAGGCATAGGCCATCTTTTGGGGTGATGGAAACACTGTATGTCTTGATAATAATGATCGTCTCATGGGTTTATACAACAGTCAGAACTCCTCACACTGTATAATGTATATGGATGTGACTTACTGTATGTAATTCTTTAATAAAGTTATTAAGAAAAAAATAAGATGGAAATAGGTAAGTAAAGACTGACTTTAATAACATAATAAAAAGAGTATAACTTATGTAACAAGCTCTTTACACTGAAAATAAAGACTTAAACCTTGGAACCTATGGAATATTTACAAATACCAATTATATGTTTGGCCATACAAAATCCTAAAGTTAGAAAGTAGAATTAGTACTAATTCCTATTTGTTTGTTTTTTTTTTTAATTTTTTTTTTTTCAACGTTTATTTATTTTTGGGACAGAGAGAGACAGAGCATGAACGGGCGAGGGGCAGAGAGAGAGGGAGACACAGAATCTGGTACATCAGCCCAGAGCCCGACGCGGGGCTCGAACTCACGGACCGCGAGATCGTGACCTGGCTAAAGTCGGACGCTAAACGGACTGCGCCACCCAGGCGCCCCAGTACTAATTCCTATTTGATCAAATATGATAAAACAATTTGATCAAAATACAATAAAACTAGAAACTTTTAAACAACTCTTGTGTAAAATAAATGTTTTCAAAGTAGGTTATTTAGGAAACAGCAATAACAAAAACACTAAAAATCAAAATCTCTGGAAAACAGCTAAAGTTATATTCAAAGGAGAATTCATAGCCCTTAATCATTTAGTGAATAAAAGAAAATGAAATGATTAAGCATTTATTTCAGCAAAATGGAGAACAAAATAAATCTCAGAAAACTAGAACAATGGAATTAGTGAAAAGCAAAAAATAAAGAATTGGAGAAGAGTGGTAACTCTAATAAATCCTTAAACTGGGCTTTAAAAATAAAATTGATTCATAACTAGCTACCTAATAATTTTTTTAAGAAAAGAATAGGTATACAAAATAAATTAAAATTGGAAACTATAGATACTAAAAATAAAAAGGGTTACAAGATTATTTTGTTCAGATTCATGAGAATAAATTTGATAACATGAATGAAAAGGTGATGTTTAGAAAAATAAAAATTTGGGGCACCTGGGTGGCTTAGTCAGTTAAGTGTCCAACTCCTGATTTTGGCTTAGGTCACGATCTCATGGTTTGGGAGTTCGAGCCCTGCGTCAGGCTCGATGCTGACAGCACAGAGCCTGCTTGGTATTCTCTTTCTCTTTCCTTCTCCCTCTCTCTCTGCCCCTCCCCACTCACTCACGCTCACACTCTCTCTCTCTCTCAAAATAAATAAACTTTATTTATTTATTTATTTAATGTTTATTTTTTATTTTTGAGAGAGAGACAGAGTCTGTGAGTGGGCAAGAGGCAGAGAGAGAGGGACACATAGAATCCAAAGCAGGCTCCAGGCTCTGAGCTGTCAGCAGAGAGCCCGACGTGGGGCTCGAACTCAGCAACCACAGATCATGACCTGAGCTGAAGTCGGACACTTAACTGACTGAGCCACCTAGGTGCCCCAATAAATAAACTTTAAAAAATAAAAATAAAAACTTAGGGGTGCCTGGCTGGCTCAGTCGGAAGAGCATGTGACTCTTGATCTTGGGGTCATGAGCTCCAGCACTATGTTGGGCAATAATGACTGCTTAATAAAAAAAGAAAAAGAAAAATTTGTAAAATTTCACCCAAGACAGAAACTGTAGAGACCATTTATCACAAAGAGAACACTGAGAAAGTTGTCAAAGATCCACTTACTCACAAAGGCCTCAGGACCACGGTTTCTCTCTCAAGCTATAAGACTAGTGACCTCATTCATTCATACTAGCATCTCTATGCCAGACTTTTTCTTCTAAGCCTCTGTCCCACTCTAGTGGCATGTTGCATTTCTTCACTCCAAAGTCTCTCCATCTCATAAAAATAACTCTTCTGTCCCAAGTCAAATTATCATCTTTTCTCCTACCAACATATTCTTCTGGCTTATTTCTATTAAATGGTGTCACCATCCAGTCGCCCAGACTTGAAAACGTAACTGGGAATTATTTCTTTTTTCCTTGATGGTTAATAAACCTCTGAATAACCCCAAGAAGTTAGCAGAATTATTTTCTCAAAGTAAAAATTCAGTGAATCCTTCAATATAAAGGAATGAGTGACTGAAAAGGGGGAAAAAAAAATAGTCATTGTTGTCTCTGGATTCTTTTAAATGTGATGAAGCAACTTGTGCCAAAACTAAAAAAGAAGGGCAAGCAGACAGTGCCAGTTTGGACTCAGAGAACAGGAGAGCGTTATTAGAGAATACAGTGACGTATGAGAGAATATATACAAGAAGAGTAAGTTAGCTCACGCTAATGACACCTCACTGTTTCTTCCCAGGCCTTCAGCCTTTAAGAAAAGCTACCCAGGAAACATCAATTATACGCTGGAAGCTTTCAGAATAGCTGAGCTTTTCCCTGCAATGGACTCTATCTTCCTAATTCTCACTCACCAGGGTATGTGCCTCTTGTCCCCTCCTTCTTCACCATCCAGGGCTCTTTTCCTTGTTCCAATAATGAGATCACATCTGGCTTAGAAACTGAAACTCCTGCTTACAAGAAATAAAAGGGGAATTAGCCAGATCTGTAAGGCAGATCGAGTTGCTTGGTCATCAGGAAGTTGATGAGGGCATTACAGAAGGGAGTATAGGAAGATGTGAAGTATTCTGAAGAATGGGGAAAATGAAGTGGTAGAAATAATCCAATGAAGCTGCCAGTTCTACAAAACTCAGCCCATTTTGGGAAGCACAAGAAAGAGAAATTTAGTGAAGTACATCAGAGGCTTCCTAAACATTGGAAAGCAGCCCTGTGTGCAGATTCTGAATTCTGGCGAGACTTCCTTACCCAGTGATACCAGGCTCCTATAGTTCTCCAACATCACCTTCCTGTACAAATTCCTCTGAGCAGGGTTCAGCCACTCCCACTCCTCTTGGGAGAAATCTACGGCCACATCCCCAAATGTCACCAAATCCTGAAATGACATAAACATATTCTTTTATGCTCAACTAGTGTTCCTAACGTCAGACTGGCATAGTTTGAAAAGTTAAATTGTACTTTTAGAGAGAAATAGTGCATATAGTGAAATTTTCAGGCCATATCTTGGGTTCTGTGCAACACATGTCAAACACTTGCTAAGATGATTTCTCTTGCTTGGTTTTAATATTCTGTCATGGAAAGCATACAATTTCTGGCATAATCTATAGTCTCTACTGATGGTGAAAAGATTAATAGCACAAAAATGAACAATAACAGAACACTATAAACAAGAGCAAAATATGTTATTCATACTAAATGCTAATGCATTTCTCAATATGGAAAATCAGGATAGACTAGGACAGTGAAAGAAGACTTTAAGGAAGAGACAGGAACATGAGTTAAGCCCTCTAAGTTGTATGTGGTCTAAACCTACATTTTCCAAACTCTTCAATGGAATGGCCAATGTTCCAGGTATGTCAACAGAGTAACATATATAAATGTATTTGATGTTCATAATATTGATTTCTTAAAATTAAACATGTAGGTAATAAATACATTAAATAAGTTCTGTAGGGATTTCGCAAAATATAACTTAAAGAAATGTATGCCATAACAGAACAACTGGGGTCATAAAAGATTATCTAACAGCTCTTGATAACCCCAGTGAGTTTCAAAGATGGTGACTTCTCTTTACAGAAACAAAATAATACTAATTTTAAGCACTGTTAAATAGTATTTCAGATGCGATAGTGAAGTGCAGTGAAAAACCCCTACAGCTCTCACTAGAGGAACATACCCAGTTGTGCATGTCTAATGAGCGAGAGTTTTTCAAATGTTACAGTGTAGTTCTCAACTAATAATACTACGTTGAATTAAGGATCTTTATCACATGGAATAAGACCTGGTCTGCTTCCTAAAAATTAAAAATGGATATTCTTTCTAACGAGGTAAATCTACTCCAGACTTACCAGGGCTTGCATATGGTTTACTATATGCTCAGCTGGTTTGGCGTGTCACAGAGCAAAACCGACTCTTTAACTGGGATGATATATAGATACACTCAATGGTACACATGTGAAGAGCTGAATTGATCTGTTAAATACTGAAATACTGTCACGTTGGTTGGTAAACAGCTACTGCACTGAGCCCTGTGGTGACAATCCCAGATCTCCCCACAGCCCAGCAACTGAAGGGGAATACCCAGCACTCCAGTGGCCTCCAGTATCCCATCTAGGGTAAGTTCTGGTGTGTGCCCTTGCCTTAGTGGTCATCAGATATGAACATCACTCCTATTAATGTGACTCTGCAGTGTAATGGTCCTACTGAAGATGTATTTAAGTACATCAATGCTTTTATGCAAATATTTTTAATGGAAAAAATGAGTCGATACTGGGCTAGTGCCCCAGTCATGGACAACAATGTTAAGGAAGCTATACAGGAAGCAGAAGTATGCCTCCAAGAAACATCAGTTGCATACATCAGCTTGTTCTTACATGCTTCCATTTCTAAAACACTTCTTACTACAGGGAAATATGGGAAGTGAGTAAAGGCTTCAAGAAAGGAAGGAACGGAACATGAGTTGGGTCTTAAAAGAAAAAATTTGCCCTAGACAGGGCTGGATACTGTCAAGCATCAATTCTATCAAACCTCAAACACTTCAATACAAACTCTAATTTTAATTTTGTGCAAAAAAAAGTGTTCTACACACATTTCTACTGTAAACAGAGGTGAGGCAGCTTTTGGTAGGCAGTGTTCTTAAAAGACATTTTTTTAGCTGCACATCCTAAAGGAGTCTAGGTTTCAACTGGCTGACTGTCCTTTTCCTCTCAGCCAATGAGACCTGAATATCTTGCAAATATTTTAATATTTGTTTTGATTTGATAAAACAGGAACTTCATATGATTTGTAATCATCAAAGAAACTTACCAAATAATGTCCAGTATTTCTACCCTCAGTGAATTTTTTTCCTTTTTATAAAAGTTAAAAGAATTGGAAGTACTCATCCCCACATCTACCCACCATGTCACCCTACCTCCTAGAAACAATAAAAATTTACAGTTAGTATATATTTCTTCAAATGTTTCCTTATGCAGACATGTCTGATTATCTATCTGCATTCATTTACTTATAAAATCACTTTTGTTGGATTGATAACATAATGTGGTATAAATATGTTGTACCTTATTTACTAACCCGTTTATTTTCATTTATATGAATCTTAATTTTTCACTATGATGTCAGAATTGGGATTCTCACTAATTTAACATTATAGTAGAGTTCTCATATAATACTACTGTATGTTAAATTAAAGATTCAATAGAGGTCTCTAATTATTTCCTTAAAATGAATCCTAGAAGATATTCTCTCCACGGAGACTATGATTCCCCAAACGTACTTAACCTCAGAAAAAAATTTAAATTATGTTATTGTGACCTAGCAAGAATTGGAGCTACTGAAAAAATAATTCAGGCTGGGAGTAAAGTGTTGACCTGCACTCAAAGAAATACTAATGGTTCTTCAGGTGGAGGAAAATGGAAAAGGATGGAAAGGAAAATCAAGAAGAAATCAAGAGTCCCAGAGGAATAACTATAAATATAATATCTAATAATAACAATAAATGGGAGTTAAATCACTATGGGGCCTTATCTTGTTCAGAAAGTAGTAAGAGTAGTAACTATAGAAGGAAGATTGCAGAAGGAAGAAAGGAGATAATTACATAATGATATGGGTAAATATCCTGGAGTGACCACTAAAAGGATAATAAAAATAATGTATAATTAACAAGATAATAAAGAAAAAGTACTTGATTTATCCAGAAGAAGGTAAACAAGGAGAAGTAAAGGAACAAAGAACAGATGGGAGTAAGTAGAAAACAAACTACAAGGCTATACACACAAATACATCAGTATTAGCCTTAAACACAAATACATCAGTAATTACATTAAACGAAAATGTAGTGAACACTAATTAAAAGACAAATATTCTCAGACTGGATCCCTCTAAAAAGATCAATGTTTTGAGGGAGATGTGGGATTGTGGGAGGCATAAGGAATCATGGGAAGCACACAGGGCCACTTACAGCAGCCACAGGGCTGCCACAGACTGCCAGAGAATGGTGACAGCCACAGGGACTGTGGAAGGCATGAAGCTGCAACCAACAATATGCTGTTTACAAGAGGCACACTTTAATATAATCATTAGGAGAGGCTGTCAAAAAATGTGCATTAAAATCATCCTTGGACATGGGGCGCCTGGGTGGCTCAGTCAGTTAAGCATCTGACTTTGGCTCAGGTCATGATCTCACAGTTCATGAGTTCGAGCCCTGTGTCAGGCTCTGTGCTGACAGCTCAGAGCCTGGAGCCTGCTTCAGATTCTGTGTCTCCCTCTCTCTCTTCCCTCCCCCCACCCTATCTGTCAAAAATAAACAAACACTAAAACACATTAAAAAAATCATCTGTGGACTTAATAAAAATGCGGTTTTCTGGATCCTCCCACCAGAGACTGATTCATGGGGTCCCAGAAATAGCACTGGGGCCAATGGGCTCTGTCTATTCTACACATCATACCCTCTGCTTTTTGCTTTTTCCATTACCAATTCAGTGGCAGGAGAAAAGAGGTAGCTGGCTCTTACCTCTCTGGGCTCACTCACAGATGAGAAATTCACAATCTTGTCCATTTATATATTAATCTGACAAATATTTACTGAATGCCTACTCCCTATAATGTTCTAAGTATTGGAAATACAATGGTGAACAAAATACAGTCTCTCCTCTTGTGGAGTTAATATTCTAACATAGGAGAAAGACATTAAACATAAAGTCATACTATGACAAAAACAAGGGAAGGTGATTTAGAGTGACAAGGTGTTTTAGATAGGATGGTCAAGGTAAACCTCAAGGAAGCAGTAATGTTTGAACAACAATCTAAAAGTGAGAGAGCAAGCCATGCCAACACCTAAGGGAAGAGAGTTACAGAAGAGGGAGGAGCAAATGCAAAGGTTCAGAGACAGGAAAGAACTGGGTGAGTCTACGGAACAGCTAGTTGGCCAGTGTGACTGGAACAGAGAAAAAGACTTGTAGAAAATGAGGTATGGGGTAGCCAGGAGCTGGACCATGCAGGGCCTTAGAGACTGTGGAGAGGACATTGAATTTCATTCCAAGTAAAATGAGAAGCCAATGAAGATTCCAAAGGAATGAAATGATGTGTTCTATCACTGTTGACAGTGTCCTTTATGATTTTCTACCACCGTCTTCAAATCATCACTCACCATCATCTATTTATACTGACAATCAACATATACTACAACTTCCTACATCTGATACAATCACTAACTAGTGACATAGATTGTTTTCCCTCATCTGTAAAATAAGTGACTTGTACAAGATCACCCATAATTTTCATCCTGGCTTTATTATTTTATGAGCTTAGATATGTGCTACTCAATACACTAGGTACTTGTCACATGTGGCTATTTCATTTTAAATCAGTTAACATTAAAAATGCAGTTCCTACAGTAGCTAGTGGCTACTGTATTGGACAATGCGGATGTAGAACATTTCTATTATCAGTCATCACCGAAAGTTCTCCTGGACAGTGCTGCTCTAATTGATTTCTTCTGGCTTATCTTCTTGTTTACAGCCATGTTCTATATTTTCATCCAACAGTTCATCTGTTTTACTCTTTACATTTAACCTACAGAATGTATCTAACCTCAAAGGGTGAGGAAGGAGTCTTTTTTCTAAATGAATAATCCATTCTGTCTACACTGATTTAAAATAATATCACTTTACGGGGCTCCTGGGTGGCTCAGCCGGTTAAGCGTCTGACACTTCATCTTGGCTCAGGTCATGATTTCATGGTTCATGAGTTTGAGCACTGCATCAGGCTCTGCGCTAGCAGTGTGGAGCCTGCTTGGCATTACCTCTCTCCCTCCCTTTCTGCTCCTCCTCCTCTCGTGTTCTCGCCCTCTCAAAATAAAAAACTTTAAAATCATATCACGGGGGTGCC